ATCAGAGATATCATTATAAACTTAGGAGTTTAGAAAATACGTGTGCGTGGGATGGGCAGATGGTGTGTGGTGGTTAAAACACTGGACTCCCACATGACCAACTGCAGTTCAACTCCTAGACCTGGCAGCTTTCTTTCTCACTTATCCCTTTCTCTCTCTCTGTGTCTCTCTGATCATATTAAAAAGTAATAACAGGCAGTTTGAATCGCGGTGCGACAAAGGAGTAGCTAGTGGCATCTCACTGTGTGTCTGACTAGCCCTTTTTCTGCTTTGCTTGTGTGAGCTTCAGCAGAATTCGAAATGGCTGGCAGTAAGGCTGGGAAGGACTCTGGAGAGGCCAAGACAAAGGCGGTTTCCCGCTCTCAGAGGGCCGGCTTGCAGTTCCCGGTGGGCCATATTCATCGACACCTGAAATCTAAGACTACCAGCCATGGACGTGTGGTTGCGACTGCTGCTGTGTACAGCGCTGCGATCCTGGAGTACCTCACCACAGAGGTACTTGAACTGGCAGGAAATGCATCAAAAGTGGGTAAAGTCGCCACTGGCAACTTGCTATTCGTGGAGATGAGGAATTGGACTCTCTCATCAAGGCTACAATTGCTGGTGGTGGCGTTATTCCACACATCCACACATCTGAGTGGGAAGGAAGGACAACAGAAGACTGTCTAAAAGATGCCTGGATTCCTTATTATCTCAGGACTCTAAGTACTCTAACAGCTGTCCAGTGTTGGTGATTCCAGTGGACTGTATCTCTGTGAAAAACACAATTTTGCCTTTGTGGAATTCTATCTGAGCAAGTTGGAAGTTTAATTAGCTTTCCAACCAACCAAATTTCTGCATTCGAGTCTTAACTATATTTAAGTGTTACTGTGGCTTCAAAGAAGCTATTGATTCCGAAGTAGTGGGTTTTGATTGAGTTGACTGTTTTTAAAAAACTGTTTGGATTTTAATTGTGATGCGGAAGTTATAGTAACAAACATTTCGTTTTGTACAGACATTATATCCACTCTGGTGGATAAGCTCAATAAAGGTCATATCCCAAACTGAAAAACAAAAACAAAAACAAAACAAATAAAATTAAATAAATAATTAAAAAATACGTGTGTGTGTGTGTGTGTATCAAGGGTACATAGATACATATATAAAAATAGAAACATAAATAAACATAGGAGTATGTGACTCACGAAGTGTGCTTCGGTTAGTACACATACATGTACCTCCAGACTTAACTTGACACTGACTGACTTACCGAGTCTTTACAACATCTTGGGAGAAGCGCTGTTATTATCCCCATTTTACAGGTGAGAAAATGGAGACTGCAAGCAACTGCCCAGGCTACAGAGCTGGTGAGAGGCAGGGCTGAAACAGCAACCCTTACAGGCTGGCTTCAGAACCCCGGTCTTACTCTGATGCTATCTGCCTCTTACAAAAGAAGAGAGTAACTCTAAGCCGTTCGCCCCTCCTCCCAAAGTATCAACATCAAGTAGACGCGGCAGAGGGTGAGGGATAGGGAATCAAGGATGGCAAAAAAAAAAAAAAAAAAAAAAAAAAGGAAAAAAAAAAACACCCAAAAAAAATAGTGAATTAATGTAAAAAAAATAAATTTAAGGAAAAGGGGAAAAAAGAAAAGTAGACAAAGTCAATTAGCAGGAAGCTGGAAGAAGCAGGGCAACCCTGTGTGAAGGGGCCATCTCCTGATTAGGATTCAGAAGTCTGGCTCGAGGTCACAGCTGCAAAGCTTTGAACAACCGTCACCTTAAGGTGATCAATGGCTTCTATGAAACCACTGCAGAGCACACGTGGTTTTACGTTGCCGAGAAGAGAGCTAGGATCGTTTTCTTCTCATGGTTACAAGTAGTCCTCTTACAGCAACTCCAAAGGAATCGTAAACCACATAAGGACGACCACTTTCGTTTACCAAGGAATAATGACATTTAACTTATCAACATACAACCTGATTCAGAAGAAAAGCAACATTTAGTTAGGTACACTTTTTACATGGACTCACTCATTTTCACTCCTATGAGATAGATGCTCTTTCTCTATTGGAGATGGGACAACTGAGGCACATGGACATTATAACAACTGTCTAAAGACACCCAGCTTGCAAGTGGTAAAGCCAGGATGTGTTACCACGATAACATGCTCCCACTCACAGGAGTTATGTTTTTCAGTTGCTGATGTCTGACAAATAAATGCCAATCATTAATGTTAATAAAGCACACCATGAAAGAAAACAGTCACCAAGTGTCACAGAAGCTACGACATTCAGCTTATACCCACATGTTTTAAGAGTTGACTATGGTGTCTAAAATGAATAAAAGAAAAAAAGCCTTTCTACCTTCCTCATTCAATAAATCTATTTTATGTATTTTGATGTCTTCTAGAGATTTTGAAGACCAGTAGCTAGAAGTGACAATTCTCAGATTTATACTTGCTTCCAACTAAATCAACTTGACAGCAATTTTTCTGCCATGTGACCCACTATTACTTATAGACTTCTTTGTATCTGTGGGCAGCAGGTATTTAAAAGCTTCCAAAAAAATGAAAAAAAAAAGTTATAAAATAGTTTAGACATTCTTATAAAACTCTCCCCAGCTACATCTTCCCTTTAGATTTAACATCAGAAAACAATAGTATTAAAGTAAAATAATAGAATATGCTTTCTTCAGAATATATAAGCAAAAAACACACACAGCCGTAATTATCTGCAGAAATGACGTGAAAAGCCATAAAGTATTTCAAAGTTACCACTGTATGCTAGCATGCGTAACAAATACCTCATGTCTTGGATAAGAGAGACCCTGAGTGTTGGCAACATAACTCCTGAGTCAGATTTTCTTCTTTCTGGTCCGAGGGCAACTATGTAGAAAAATATCAGCAAAGTATTAGAAAAATAACAGTAAGGACTTAAAAAAAAATCTATGTGGTTCATAGTTCACAAGTAAATACTTTGAAATTGTTTTGATAAGGACAGAAACGCTGGGACCAGCAGTTGGCGTAACGGCTATGTTGCTGGACTCCCATGTAGTTGACCATGGTTCGAGTTCTGGACCTGGTGGCTTAAACTCATGCTGGGTGCGAGTGTGTGCGTGTCCAAGATCCCAAGAGGAGAATGGAGGAGAAGGGAATGCGGTGTGGCCATCCCCCTTGAGGGGTGATTTCTTGCTTTCTGTTCTCTGTATTTGTGGCAAATAAAATTAAATAAATAATTAAAAAATACGTGTGTGTGTGTGTGTGTGTATCAAGGGTACATAGATACATATATAAAAATAGAAACATAAATAAACATAGGAGTATGTGACTCACGAAGTGTGCTTCGGTTAGTACACATACATGTACCTCCAGACTTAACTTGACACTGACTGACTTACCGAGTCTTTACAACATCTTGGGAGAAGCGCTGTTATTATCCCCATTTTACAGGTGAGAAAATGGAGACTGCAAGCAACTGCCCAGGCTACAGAGCTGGTGAGAGGCAGGGCTGAAACAGCAACCCTTACAGGCTGGCTTCAGAACCCCGGTCTTACTCTGATGCTATCTGCCTCTTACAAAAGAAGAGAGTAACTCTAAGCAGTTCGCCCCTCCTCCCAAAGTATCAACATCAAGTAGACGCGGCAGAGGGTGAGGGATAGGGAATCAAGGATGGCAAAAAAAAAAAAAAAAAAAAAGGCAAAATATACAAGACCTAAGAAATGGAAAATTATTTGTTGATAACATGTGATGTGCTTGATTGAGCCAATATACAGTGTATTCTGGATGGAAAATTCATCTTGTATGCTGTAATGATGTATAGTGAATTAATGTAAAAAAAATAAATTTAAGGAAAAGGGGAAAAAAGAAAAGTAGACAAAGTCAATTAGCAGGAAGCTGGAAGAAGCAGGGCAACCCTGTGTGAAGGGGCCATCTCCTGATTAGGATTCAGAAGTCTGGCTCGAGGTCACAGCTGCAAAGCTTTGAACAACCGTCACCTTAAGGTGATCAATGGCTTCTATGAAACCACTGCAGAGCACACGTGGTTTTACGTTGCCGAGAAGAGAGCTAGGATCGTTTTCTTCTCATGGTTACAAGTAGTCCTCTTACAGCAACTCCAAAGGAATCGTAAACCACATAAGGACGACCACTTTCGTTTACCAAGGAATAATGACATTTAACTTATCAACATACAACCTGATTCAGAAGAAAAGCAACATTTAGTTAGGTACACTTTTTACATGGACTCACTCATTTTCACTCCTATGAGATAGATGCTCTTTCTCTATTGGAGATGGGACAACTGAGGCACATGGACATTATAACAACTGTCTAAAGACACCCAGCTTGCAAGTGGTAAAGCCAGGATGTGTTACCACGATAACATGCTCCCACTCACAGGAGTTATGTTTTTCAGTTGCTGATGTCTGACAAATAAATGCCAATCATTAATGTTAATAAAGCACACCATGAAAGAAAACAGTCACCAAGTGTCACAGAAGCTACGACATTCAGCTTATACCCACATGTTTTAAGAGTTGACTATGGTGTCTAAAATGAATAAAAGAAAAAAAGCCTTTCTACCTTCCTCATTCAATAAATCTATTTTATGTATTTTGATGTCTTCTAGAGATTTTGAAGACCAGTAGCTAGAAGTGACAATTCTCAGATTTATACTTGCTTCCAACTAAATCAACTTGACAGCAATTTTTCTGCCATGTGACCCACTATTACTTATAGACTTCTTTGTATCTGTGGGCAGCAGGTATTTAAAAGCTTCCAAAAAATGAAAAAAAAAAGTTATAAAATAGTTTAGACATTCTTATAAAACTCTCCCCAGCTACATCTTCCCTTTAGATTTAACATCAGAAAACAATAGTATTAAAGTAAAATAAAATTATAGAATATGCTTTCTTCAGAATATATAAGCAAAAAACACACACAGCCGTAATTATCTGCAGAAATGACGTGAAAAGCCATAAAGTATTTCAAAGTTACCACTGTATGCTAGCATGCGTAACAAATACCTCATGTCTTGGATAAGAGAGACCCTGAGTGTTGGCAACATAACTCCTGAGTCAGATTTTCTTCTTTCTGGTCCGAGGGCAACTATGTAGAAAAATATCAGCAAAGTATTAGAAAAATAACAGTAAGGACTTAAAAAAAAATCTATGTGGTTCATAGTTCACAAGTAAATACTTTGAAATTGTTTTGATAAGGACAGAAACGCTGGGACCAGCAGTTGGCGTAACGGCTATGTTGCTGGACTCCCATGTAGTTGACCATGGTTCGAGTTCTGGACCTGGTGGCTTAAACTCATGCTGGGTGCGAGTGTGTGCGTGTCCACGATCCCAAGAGGAGAATGGAGGAGAAGGGAATGCGGTGTGGCCATCCCCCTTGAGGGGTGATTTCTTGCTTTCTGTTCTCTGTATTTGTGGCGAGTGCACATGCCCTATAGCAAAAACCTCTCAAAGAAAAAAGAACAGAAATGCTAAATTCTTTTCATATTCTACAAATAAATACTTTAAAATTGATGAGAACAGAAATGCTCAAATTCTTGTCTCGAACAGTGCTACTTTATTAATACAGTAAGCTGGATATTTTCTTTTAATCTGGGCTACCTTCTTTTTAAAATTTTATTCACTGTCATTATTTTATTTTTTATTTTTTTGAGGTTGACCAGAGAGAGAGAGGGAGAATGAAAGTGAGAAAGCAAGCTTCCAGATCCAGAACTTTAACCATGGTCAGCCCTGTGGGAGTCCAGTCCCCTTAACCACAATGCCACCTGCCAGCCTATGGGCCCGCCTTTGGAAAGAAAAAAATTTTTTAAAGGTTTTGATGATAGGGCACATGCTCTCATTCCACAGACAGAAGATAGAGAGAGAGTAAGACGGAAAGTGAGAAATCACATCCCAGGGGTTGACCATACCGCAATCTCTTCTCCTCTCTTTTTCTCCTGGGGTTTCTGGGCACCCATACCCACATACACATACCTGGAGTGAGTTTCAAGCTGCTGGATCTGGGACTCAAACTGTGGGTTGGTCATGTGAGACTCCAGCGCCTTAACCACTATGTCACCTGCTGGCCCTGCCTTTGAAAATTTAAAGTGAGTCATAAAAGCCCACCTAGCAAATACTGTAATGTCTACCAGTTTGGGCTATAGGCTAGTCGTTTTGTTTTGTTTTGTTTTGTTTTGTTTTTAATTTTGCCAGAGGGCAAGTGTGCTCACAGGAGAGAGGGAGAGAGAAAACGAAAGGGAGAGAGGGAGAAGGGTAGAGGAGAGGAGATGCAAGAAAAAGAGAGAAGAGTGAGAAAGCATCCCCCATGGTGGATGGTCATCTATAATCCCTTCTCTATTTTTCCTTCCGGGATTTTGGGCACACAAACACAGGTGCCTGGAATGCTTTTCTTTCTTCCTTTCTTCCTCTTCGTCTTTTTTTAATACTTAATTTTATTTATTATTATTATTTTTTAATTTGACCAGAGAGAGAGAGAGAAAGAAGGAAAGTGAGAAAGCAAGCCGCCAGGTCCAGGACTTGAATTGCAGTCAGCCAAATGGGAGCTCAGCACCTTAACCAACATGCACTTGCCAGCCCCTCCTCCTGCTGGCATGCTTTTCAAGCTGCTGGATCTTGGATACAAACTACGTGGCTGGCCATGTAGGATCCCTCTGCCTTAATCACCAGGCCATGAGCTGGTCCAAACCAATCATTTTCTAAGTTATTCACGGTAGGGGCTGGCAGGTGGTGTCACAAGTAAGGGCTTTGGACTCCCACATGGCTGACTGCAGTTCCAATCCAGGACCTGGCAGCTTGCTTTCTTGCTCTCCCTCTCTCTCTCTCTTTCTCAGTCTGTCCCTCTCAGGTCAAGTTAAAAATAAACAAAAAAGTAAATAAATAAAGTTAAATAAATCATTCTTTTAAAAAAAAAGTTTATTCACTGTAATAGCTCTGGATCATTCCATGAGAGTAATGTCTATATATTAAGCTACTCGGCATGTCATTTCTGGGTTCCTGAACTTGAGTCAGAATTTAAACTTTAGAAGACTGTTTTAACTCTAAGATGTTAGGGATCTTCAGTCTGGTAAGATTTTACTTCAAAGTTCAGAATCCAGCTAGAGTATGTATATCAAGAAAACTCGGTAATCTAAATAGATATTTAGAAGTATTATGTCCATGAGTTATTCTCTTATTTTTAAAAATAATTATTTTACTTAACTTTATTATTTATTTTAATTTGACCAGAGAGGGAGAGAGAAAAAGACAGGGGGAGGGGGGAGAGAGAGAAGAGGGAGAGAGAGAAAGTGAGAAAGCAAGCCGCCAGGTCCGGGACTCGAATTGTGGTCGGCCATGTGGGAGTCCAGCACCCTTATCCACCATGCCACCTATGGGCCCTGAGTTATTCTCTTATAAAGCCAAGTATAGCTAACATTCATGAAGGACGACCATTTTTCTTCTCTAGCAATGGCTGCGCCATCACCTACTGCCTAGTATACTGTAGCAGGGATGCTCAGTCTCACTTTTCCTGAGATGCTATGGAGTTCTGTGCCCTTATTTCCAATTCCCCATCTGTGATTGTAAACTAAGGGGCAACATTGCATTTAGCCCATACACTGATACAATCAGAATTTCGGATGTGGGTTTTTACCATATATTAAATTTGTTATTTTGTCTTTAGATCCGTTCTACTTTGGGAGGGTAGGCTACAATACTGGAACATGTGAACATGTAAGAATGAAGCTGGCCCCGAAGGAGATAGCCCGAGGACACTGTGTATTAGGATCTGCACGCTTTTGGCACTCAGTGATAAAGGCTGGGCTGATCCTTGGCAGATATAAATGAATACAGATAAGGCTGCCAGGAGGAAGAAGGTGTGGCCAGGCCAACCATGGCATTTCAAACCAGGTGGGTGATAAAGTAGGCCATTTGTTGTGGTAGCTTGGGAAGGAAGTTTTCAACAGGACACTAAAAAATCTGGTTCATCTTTTCACCCCTTCTTTATTCATGAAAGAGCATGCATGTGTGCTATGGAAGAGAGAGAGAGAGGGGGCGGGGAGGGAGGAAGGGAGGGAGAGAGAGAGAGAGAGAGGGGAAGGGAGAGAGAGAGAGAGAGAGAGAGTCAGAAGTGCTGTGCACAGGGTTGCTCACACCACAGTCCCCTCCTTGTCTTCCAGCCCGTCACAGGTCGCGTCTCGAGCACTTGCCCATATGAACGGCACGTTTCTGGCCAATGGGGCGGGGGCATCCTGCTGCATTAGTCACAGGGGATTCAGCTTCTCTTCAGTAGCATGTTATCACTCTGCCATGGAGCTGGTTCAAGACTGGTTCACCTTGGGACCAGCAGTTAGCATAATGGCTATGTCGCTGGCCTCCTATGTAGTCGACCGCGGTTCGCCTCCCAGACCCGGTGGCTTAAAACTCACGCCGGGTGTGTGTGCGTGCGTGCCCAAGATCCCGAGAGGAGAATGGAGGAGAAGGGACGGCAGTGTGGCCATCCCCCTGGGGGGTGATTTCTCGCTTTCTGTCTCTCTGGTGAGGGCACGTGCCCTATAGCAAAAACCTCTCCAAAAAAAAAAAAAAGAAGACTGGTTCATCCCGATACTCAGGAAGAAAGGATGCTGAGGAAACAGTCCGAGCCCTTCAGAGAATGCCATTTGTCCATTTGTGTCCTGGACGGAGACTATTGCCACTTCCGCGTGTTATTAAAGAAAGTGTGCCTCTTTTGGGGAGGAAGTGAAATATCTCAGAGAATGCCTCTGGATGCCAGATGATCAGACAGTAGGAAAGAGGGCCACACAAGTGGAAGAAACAGGTTGAGGAGGAGAAGGGACAAGGCGACGAGGCAGAAGAAAGGAGCTGAGACCACAGCAAACCGGCTAGAGGGAGAGCTGACGGTGATAAGGAACTAAGCTTCGGGACCAGAAAGTGGCGACAGACTCTTCATAAAAGAGGAATCTGACATTTAAGAAGCAGTAACAGCCACCATAACAGCATTTAGCAGCATAAGCATGTTCTACAAATCCTGCTTTGGTACCCAATATTCTAGCACCCTCCATTGCTTAGTGTTCCTTAGATACGTGCTGCATGTTTTTATGTCTCCATGCATTTAAGGTCTTTAGCTCATTCTCTAGCACTTCCGCATCTTTCTTCTAGTGTTATACATAGACTATTGACCACTTCAGGCAGAAAAGCTGTACAGCTTAATGATTGAGAACATGGCTTTCTCGGGGCCAGCAGGTGGCATGGTGGTTAAGGTGCTGGACTCCCACATGGCCAACTGCAGTCTGAGTCCCTGACCTGCCAGTTTGCTTTCTTACTTTCCTTCTCTCTCTCTCGCTCTCTGTATTTTTCTGGTGAGTGCACATGTCCTACAGCAATTAAATAATAATGAGAAATCAAATAAAATAAATTATGATTTTCAAGCCACCAGGTCTGGGTCTCAAACTGCTGTCAGCCATGGGGGAATCCAGCACCTTAATCACTATGCCACTTGCTGGCCCCATAAATAATTCTTTGTTGTTGTTAAAGAATGATTTTATTCATCTTTATTTGTTTATTTTAATTTGACCAGAGAGGGACAGAATGTGTGTGTATGTGTGTGTGTGTGTGTGTGTGTGTGTGTGTGTGTGAGAGAGAGAGAGAGAGAGAGAAAGTGAGCGAAAGCAAGCTGCCAGGTCTAGGACTCGAACCACAGTTGGCCATGTGGGAGTCCAGCACACTTAACCACCACACCACCAGCCAGCCCCATCCCATAAATAATTCTTAAAGGAAAAAACAAACAAAAAACAACAGGGAAAAAAAAAACAACAAAACCATGGCTTTCTCAAACCTTACAGAGAAATTAATAGATTCTGTCTTTGGATGAGCCAGTAGCCTCTCTATCATCTGTTTCCTTATCTGAAAACTAAAACAGTATACATCCTAGTTAAACAGATGAAAAGCACTCAGAATAGTGCCAGGCACAAAGCAAGTTCTTAATGAAATGAAATAAAATTTAGCTCTAATTCTGCCTATGTATGGGATATTTCCTACATATCTTCTCTCCCCTAAGGCAAACTACTGGATAAGTCATCCCCTCTCTTTAACAAGACTTGTAAAACTGGACCTCTA